TAAATTCACATATGTAGTATAAAGCACCATTTACTAAAATTCCATTTCCTCATCAATCTACTTTTCTTAGCTTCCTCTGGTATTTTTTTCTTCCCATATCCCATAAGACTCATCCAAGACTCCATTTCCAGCAGATGTTTTCTCCCTCTTCCTACTGTCTTTGTTCCATTTATTTATTATGTGACCTCTCTTCATCAAGCAAGATTCCCTCCCTTTTTGAAGAAGAGGAGAAATGAGAAAATGTGGCTGGCTACTGGAGGATTTCTTTTGGCTGGGGGAAGAAAGTAAGTAAAATTACTAATCCTAGATTAATAATTTATCTCATTACATATAAATAATTGCTTCCTGTTTTTTAAAAATTTTATCAGTCACTAAAGCTTTATTAGGTTTTATTTAATAAGGTCTCATACCAAAAACTCAGTACCTCTGGACACATGAGACCCTGAATACTTAGATAGGAGAGAGAAGAAAGAAGAAAAGATACAATATACAGAAAAAAAAAGTGAGACTATACTGAGAAATAATCCCAAAGTAGGAAAATGCCATGTACAAGAAAACATTCTTGGCATTCTTGCATTTCGAAATTAGAATAATCTAAATGTCCAATGTTAGAGAAATGATTATGCAAACTACAATCTATTCATGAAATGGCATATTATTCATCAATTAAGTGTTTATTTTGAAGAATGTATTACAGCAAAAAAAGCGTATGTAATAAGTGAAGAAAAGTAAATTATATTATGCTGTAATACAAAATTGTGTAATTGTACTTACCAATTTGTGCCACCATTAGACAGAGGGAAGAGTAGGGGTGGGATGGGGTTAGAAAGTCAGGACAAGATAGAACCCTGACATTCATGGAATGTTCCAGGAAGGGGTGCTGTAGGTGCTAGAGTGGTCTCCACTCTAGCTCCACTCTAGCTAGTGCATGTGGGTTTTTAGAAAGATTTCTCCAGACCACAATTAGGATGGAAAGAAGTTTACTTACTTTTTCCTAGGTGGAAAAAACACCAACACAAAAGGGTGTGTTGGCATAGAAGGCTAGTTACTCAGACCTTTTATTTAGGAACTGTAAAAAAAAGGGGGTGAAAGATGATTTATGGCTATAGCCAAATTAACAGGGTACTATGAACTTCTCTCCTTAGCAGAAGTGGCTGTCAGGGATCTTGTTGGAGATCTTGCCCTTGAGATAGGATTTGGGGCAGGATCTGAAGCCTGAAGTCTGTCCCCTCTGCTGTCACCCAGGAGCTTCTCAGGAACTTGTGGAGGCTGTAAAAGCAGATTCTAAAAGAGGCAGTCTTAGTCCACCGGTCTATCGATCATAAAAGAAAAAATTTACATTTCCTTTCTGACTGTTGGGCTCCTTTTAGATGTTGTGAAAACAGAGCTCTGCAGAGTGCCTGTCAGCTAAAGAGAGAGAGAAGAGAGAGCAGAGAGCTTATTTTTTTTCCTGTTACTTTGCTAGCAAGTCCAGCCCTCCTTTCTGTAGGGATGAGGGGAAACTTGCCCTTTTCCCCAAGAGTTCGCTGAAAGATCAACTCACAATTAAGGCAGATTAACAAGAGAAAGGTTTATTTACCAATACCATGTGCGTGGGGAGAATCACAAGAGTGATTACCCAATATCCCAGTGAAGTTCAGATGTGTTTATACACACCTTTTGCAGGGTAAGGGGGAAAATAAGGAGTATAGGTAATTTTGTTTAAGCGCAATGAAAGATTGTTAGGGAGGATGAATAGATGGGGAAAACAGATTGACTTGTATAACCTGAGAGACAGGTATTATGTTTTAAATGATTTGGGCCAGATCTGGTTACATTCTTGTTGTTCTTTCCTGCAATACATTGAGAAATCAGGCAGAGGAAGGGAAGTCAATTGCCCCTTTTGATCTTTTGATCAGGTCAGTATGGTTTAGGCAGATAGAGGGAAAGCCCCTTCGGAGACTTTTTTTACTCTCAAATGGCCTTTAATTCAAAATGTTCTTTATATAAATATATATATGTTCATATTTTTGGGTGAAATTTCTTGAGCTCCTTAATTTCCCATCTGGAACTTTCCCAGAAGTTTTACATATTAAAATTCAAGTGGGTAGTTGCAGAGAGAGAGATCAGGTTAGTAGTAAAATAACAAGAGATTTGAAACGGGAGACAAGAACATAGATTAAAATGAGAATAAATAAGTAGAAAAGAACAGATCTAAGTATATTTTCCCACACCCCATTTAACCAGTTTCCTATTTTGGGGACTTGGTCATTATTAATTTGATGGAAAATATTTATCTTGTCTTTTAAGAGGTATAGCTCATAGTCTTTATTTGTCCTGTGTGGTTTTATGTAGAAACAATATATATATATATTTATATATTTTTTTGTCAATAATCACTCAAGTTTCTCCCTGTAGGGCTGTCAAGGCATCTAGAATGTAGCAGTTTTTAAATATAATAAAGGTTAGGCTGTTGACTTTTAACTGAAGTGTTTTAAATGTTTGTGTAGTGATATTGAACTCTTGTTTTATTACTATGGATAGATTTAAAACTGTCTTTTTAATTTTATGAGTTTTAAATGTCGGGCAAAGAGTCTTGAGCACCAGAAAGAACTTAGAATTGTGACATATAAGTGGTTTTTTTAATAATATCACGTCTAGTATGTTTGTTTGGTATCACTTTATGAATGAAAGAGATCAAGTTTGCAATTTGGCTGGCACTTAAGAGTGCAGTATCTGGTTGTAGAAAGTGTCAGATAACCAAGTCAACAGTGTCTCGACCATCTAGGTGGGAACCACTTGTGTATTTTATTGCCACACATAATAAAGACCAGTGTAATTCATAGATAGGGTCAGGTTGGAACCTGTAACTTCCCAGTTTGGAGTTTGTTGTGTCTTTTTTTATTTTTTCCATTGGCATTTTCATATCCCTAGTGTCCATGTGTTCTTGCCAGTCTATGGGAACAGACCAGGTTGTGAAATATTTGATATTAAAGGCCTCTGGTCTAATTTTGGCAGTTACATGACTTGGTTTTGTCACTTACCCAAGTCAGTCCAGATTTTTGTTCTGTCCACATGTAATCTTTAGTGTCCGGCAACTTAACAATGAGAGTAAGTGAATTACCCCAAGTTGTTCAGGCTTCGCTTGTGAGCCATTTGTAACATCTGGTGATTTGACAAGTGTTGACATTATAAGGGTCAGTGTCAGTAGCCTCTAAGAATGTAAGAATGTCATCTGTGGAATTAAGCTGTAGAGTCTGATTTTAATATTGTCCTTGCATGTCACTAAGAAAAGATTTTGTATTGTTGCTGCCCAACCAGGTTGATTTGCCCACTGCCCAAGAGGAAGCCAATACACTGAGACAGCAGGGTTTATGGCAGAGAAAGAGTTTATTCTGCATAGCACTAAGCAAGGAAACAGGAGAAATTTCTCAAATCTGCCCCCCCAAGAATTTGGGAGACAGGGTTTTTACAGACAGTTTGGCATAGGCAATTGAGTCTGCTAATTGGCTATGTTTGGGGGGAACCAAAGGGTTCTAGAAATTGTCTTCTTTGCTGACAAGGTTCTTCAGTGGAGGTCACAAGACCAGTTGAGTCAGTTCCTTGTTATGGGCCACTGGTGTGGGGGGTCAGCTGTTCCACTGGAATTCCAAGACCTGGAAGATATCTCAGAAACTACCTCTAGGTTTCAAAAAGATAATGTTATCTATGGAGAAAGCTAAGAATCGTTATGACCACCAGCTATGTGGCTCCAGAGTGGCAATTATAGAGAAGCAAACAGGGGGACTAATTATGATCATTATTTTTAGGTAGGCCTGTGCCTTAATTTTAGCCAGGCCCTTACCATAGTTCTTGCCTTTCACCCCTTTATTATTGTGTAAAGGGTGATTAGTATCATCTCTGTTTTTAATGTCAAGAGGAAAATTTCTTTCTAGTGACTTTACCTGAGTAAAAGATAGTTTTTGAACTTTTAGAGGTTTTTCTTGTGTCTAGTTGACTCATTAACAGGAGAAGTAGCATGATATTTTTTTTCTGGTTGTGGATGTCATATCTTGTCTTACATTTATCTTTCAGACTATTTTTAACAGGCACTCACATTAACAGAAACAAAATGAGTGTAGTTCCCTTTGTATGGTCTAGGTGTTGGCATAATCAGCAATTAGATTGATTAGTTAGTGTGGCCAGGGTTTGAATGACCAGTGTAAAGGGATGTCGGGTCTGTGTCTGACCTGCTGGAAAAACAGTAAGGGTTAGTGAGAGTGAGGCATAGTTTGAAAGAGTCATAGTGGAAGATTAAAGGGAGAATGGGATGGGTTGAGGTGATCTCCACTCAGCTTCCAAAGTACAGTCCTTGAAGGGGGAGACTTAAAAGATGAAGTGTTTAAAAACGACCATTTGGGAGTGTTTAAAAGACAAAAAGGAATTTATAGCTGAAAATGTGGGTTTTTTGATCAGCAATCTTGGGGAAAAGCTGTCTATGTCATGAAGATATCTATTTTAGGGGCCTGGAAATCCTTATTTTTAAGTTATCCCTAGTTATTGTCCTTCACTTGTCTCAGTGAGTTTGGTGTGGCTCATGTGAATCGAAGAGGAGATTTTTTTGTTTGTTTTTTATGGCAGTGTAGCTAGTTAACAGTACATTATAAGGGCCTTCCCAGTGAGGTGACAGCACATATCTTTTTTAAAAAACTGATTTAGGCCAGGGCGTGGTGGCTCATGCCTGTAATCCTAGCACTCTGGGAGGCTGAGGCGGGAGGATTGCTCAAGGTCAGGAGTTCGAAACCAGCCTGAGCAAAAGCAAGACTCTGTCTCTACTAAAAAAATAGAAAGAAATTAGCTGGACAAATAAATAAATAAATATAAATATATATATATTTATTTATAGATATTTATATAAATGTAATTTATATATATATAAATTAGCCAGGCATGGTGGCACATGTCTGTAGTCTCAGAGTACTCGGGAGAATGAGGCAGGAGGATCGCTTACGCCCAGGAGTTTGAGGTTGCTGTAAGGTAGGCTGATGCCACGGCACTCTAGCCTGGGCAACAGAGTGAGACTCTGTCTCAAAACAAACAAACAAAAAACCCACTTTGATTTATACATGATTTCTTGGTCAAACAGGATGACAGGGCCTGGCAGTTGGCAGGGGCGATGCTCTTTTCACCTGTTGCATATTAGTTAGCATCTGTACGTAGCTAGTCATGCTATCAGATCATTCACTTAAATCCCTACAGTGTTCAGTCAGTCTAGGAATAGGTTTATAGGTGTCAGTAGGCATGGGGTGACAGATACTATTTTGAAAGGGGTTAAACCATGTCTCCTAATTGGAGCATTCCAGATTTTTTGTAAGGGCCAAAGGTAATACTTCTGGCCATATAAGTCCAGTGTTTCGACAGACTTTTCACAAAGTTGGGTGTTTTCTTAGATTTTTTTATTTCACTTGTCCTGAGGGTTGGGGATGATATGGGGTATGAACTTTTAATAAGTCCCCAGAGTCTTCGTAAGTAAGTGGTTTAAAATGAGTCTCTTGATCTGATTCAATCCATAAAAGAATGTCAAAATGAGGAATAATCTCAGTCACTAATTTTTTTACCACTGTTGTAGCGTCAGCACGTCTGGTCAGGTAGGGTTCAGTCCATCTATTGAACATGTGAACAATAACCAAGCAGTGAGAAAAGTCTAAAGCTAGAGGGAAATCTATATAGTCAATTTGGAGTGTCAAAAAGGGATAGTTCTGGGCCTTTGGGGACTAGTTTTCTCCAGAGATTTGGTGAGACTTACAGTGTACTAGGAAATAATTGTATAGATCTCAGGGCACTACCAATTACATATATTTAACATATATATATAATATATATATTTTTTAAATTATCCCCTGTTTGTACAGATATCCCATTTGATGGGAGATGAGTGTAAGTCAAAAAGTTAAAAAGAAAAGAGGCCACAGGGAGTCTGTTTGGCCCAATATATAATTTATCTGATATTATAGGTCTATTGGCAATAGGAGTGTCAGTAGAAATTAAGAAAGGAGATTTTCAAATTGTGCTAACCATATGGCAGACTCCAAAGGCATATTTGAAGTCTGTGTAAATAGTCGCAGCTTTTCCTTATGTCAATGTATAAGCTGTAGCGGGGGCTATGACAAAATTGACTTATGGTATTTTGGGATGAGTATTTGAGTGCCCTGAGATGTTTTATGTCCTAAGTAAGTGACTGTTGTCTGTGTCCCTGGAGTCTAGACCTAGAGACTTTATGGCCTCATTTAACTAGAGTCCTTAAATGAATGAGAGAGTACAGTGAGTACCCTGTTTACAGAGTGAAAGATCATTAACATACTAAACAAGTACCGAACAAGAGTAGATCTCTGGGTAAAGGTTATAGAGTCTAAAAATCTGTTTAGAGAATTTGAGAGAATATTGAAAGAGACTTACAGTGTCTCTGAGATATTTAGGGCCACGTTAACTATCTCTCTCTGAAGGTGAATATAAAGAGAAATTGTGAATTAGGGTGTAACAGAATGAAAAAGAAAGTTGAGTAGAGGTCAGTTGTCTTTTTAAGTCACATGAACCATTTGAATTAGTTTTTATCTTTTTGATACAGTATTTTATGTAAGCGCTTGTTTATTTTTTAAAGCTAATTAATTAGAGTTCTTTTATACATTGTGGTGGTAAAATAGTACATGTAAATGACATATACAGACACAGATATATAGACATACAGACAGAAGCAGTTTTGACAGCTCTTATAAAGAATTTTTATTTGCTGGCTCTTAAATATTTTTTTTCCTCTTAGACTATCAATCTTTTAATTATTTATGTTATTGTTTTAAGCAATTACTAGCTAGGCAACAATTTTGTCTTTAGTAAGATTTTGTCATTTCTGTGTTTGTTGCTTGTAGGGCCTAATACTTACACAAGTATAGGTACGAATTGTCAGAAAGTAGAGTATTCAGTTTTTTAGAAATTAAGGATCCTATTATTAGCTTTAGTCTTGGCTTTGGTTTTCAGAGCTCTATGATCAACTTGGGCAGTATTTTTTTTTTTCTTTTTTAACCCAAGAGCACAAAAAAAGGAACAATGGGCTAGAACACAGAAATTTCTGAATTCCTGAAAGGTGGAGTTTGCAGACCCTATATTATTTTCATTTTACTGTTAGTTCATGGCTGACCCAGTCAGACATTTGAGGCCTCTAAATGGATCTAAGCTAATTAATTATCAGATCAAATCTGATCCCAGACCTAGTTTAGTTTTTGTCATAACTTTTGAACCCAGTTAGGATTAAAAATTTACTTAAATTCAGAAAGCTCAAAACACAAATCTGTGGCACTTTGGAATCTGAGTGCGAACTGACCCACAAGTCTCAAGTTGCAACGAGAGAGCAGAGAACAGGTCTAGTTGGTGCCTCACTTGAACTCTTGGTGCTCCTGGGGGTCTCTGGGAGCTCTCTCTCAGAACCCACTTTTAATAAAAATGAAATTTAACAGTTTAATTGAGCAAAGAGCAATTTACAATTTGGGCAGCTGAACTAGAACAGGCTCAGAGAGACTCTAGTGCTAAGAAGATTCATGGACAGAAAAGAGAAAGTTACATACAGAAAGTAGAAACAGCTGGATTGGTTACAGTTCAGCATTTGCCTTACTTAAATGTATTAATAGTTTGGGCTGCCTTTGATTGGCCAAAACTCTATGATTGGCAAAGAGGGAGGAGGATAAAGAAGTGAAGAAGAATGGAGCAAACTTTAGCCAAGACAAACTTAGCTGACATTTTGCTTTTGGACTTTTAAACTTAAGTTTCCTTTTAAGTGAAACCAGTAAGACTTAACCAAACTTAATCAAGGAAGTAATAAGTGTCTTTAAGGAAGTGAAGAACAGTGTTTACAAGATCTAGAAAAGCCACCAAAAAACAACTCAAAGGAAAAAAAGCCTCAAATAGCCATAAATGAGGTATAAACCACAATTTTATCCAGTCTTATTTTCTAGGGCCCCAGATTTTCAGCTGACCACTTATAAATAAATACCTAAAAGCCCCATATGTCTCTACAGAATACAGGCAAGCAAAAGCCGTGCACAGAAAGGAAGAGAATCAATGAATGGCAAAAGTTATTGAAATATCAAAACCAGAACAGGCTCGTACCCTGCACGGGAATCAAACCTAGGCTGTTGAGGTGATAGCACAAAACCTCCACCATTAGGCTACAGGGTAAATTGTCCTCTGTCACCATTTCCACAGAAGTAGTACTTAAAGGACTTTTATTTTTGTTTTAGATCAGATATTTTCTCTTTAATTTTGTCAAGAGAATTTTTAAGGCTAGCCACATCATGTGTCTTTCTTTAATCTAATTTCTCTGTTAATACAAATAAGGCAATTGCTTCGAATAAGAGATCTCTAAAAGTTATTTTTAAGAAAATTTATAAGTCTTTCAATCTAAAGGATCCATCTTTTGGCCATTAATCTCAATGGTATATTTATTCCCCAAAGCAACTCGATCCAATGCCTCTTCATAGAAATCCCAGGTGGTAATGGTTCAGGTTTAGCCTGGAGAGGGTAAAGAGAAGGCAGTTCCCAAAATTCCCAAAAATTCACTCTCAGAAATAGACAACATATCAAAGAGGTAGGACATTTTAAGACAAAGACTTCCCCTGAGAGCCTGACACATTTAGTACAGAGAATGTGTTGTTTAGAATCTTATGCGTCTCTGACTCCCTATCTTTTCAGATTGACTACCTGACATGTCCCCCTCAACAAACATGCCCCCGGATGGCGGAGATTGAGGAGAGAATTTCCACTCAGCCACAAGACAAGCTCAGGGATGTGAAACAGGATGAGAAGGAAAACTTACACAGTTTTTGTTTTGGGGGGACCTGCAATATTTGTCTTATAGACACCAATCTAGTCAGAACCCTGTTGTCCAGCTTTATAGAGGGGCTAGACCTGTGTTCTACCCTATGGTAACCCTCTTTATGACAAAAACGACACAGAAAGACAATCAACAAAAGAAAGAACAACAAATAATAAAAACAACAACAATAAAAGCTTTTTGAGAGGAGATGGAAGCAAACAATATGAATATTCATACCACAAAATACCACAAAATATATCCATGCCAGAGTTGCTCACGAGACTAGTCACTCACAAAAACTTTTCTCTCATTAATCTTAAATTTGGAAAGGACAATGATCTCTTACTGTCTGCTCCAGAGCCCAGGGAGAGGAAAACTGGGAGTCTGACTGGTAAGTAAGGTATCTTACCATGTTGCCGGCTAGTGCAAGTTCCAATTTTCCTCACTGCAGCTTTCACCAGAGCAGGGCGGCTTTGAGATCCTGTCAGCTATGCCAAACTGTAGGGCTGAGGGGAAACTTGCCCTTTCCCTGGAAAATTTGCTGAAAGATCAACTCACAACTAACACAGATTAGTAAGAGAAAGGTTTATTTACCATGTTCACCGGGAGAATCACAAGCGTGGTTACCCAATACCCTGATAAAGTTCGGATATTTTTATATATGCCTTCAAATGGCCTTTAATTTAAAATATTTTTTATACCAGAGTCATGATGTTGGGGTAAAATTTCCTGAGCCCCTTCCATGCCTTCAAAGGAGACAGAAAAGATGACTCGAAGAAGCCATGAAAGAGCATGAACCCACAGCATGACATCATGGAAGCTGAGAGAAGATGGCACGCCCATGGTCAGGCACTTAATATCCATTACCACATTTATTAATAGTTCTCACAAAAGTCCTGGGTGGGAGATCCTGTTATACTCATTTTGCTGTGAGCAAACTAGGTTTCGAGAGGTTGCGTTACCTGGACAAGATCCCAGAGCAAGGGTGAGATGGGATTTAAGCTGAGGTCTGCCTCTAGGCAAAGCACCTGCTCTTTGCTTCACACTGGGGTTCCTTGCCATGAGAGAAATATCTTCTGAATGTATATGGAGTCATGGTTCAGGTGAGATCAATCAGTTGTATTTTCCATTAAATGAGGACACTTCTGAAGCAAGGCCAGAGGTGCAGGAGGAGGGATGAGAGAATGGAGCCCCCGGTGAGGGATTAGTAAGGGGATTGCAAACTCCATTCCCTGCAGCGCAGCTCAGGTAAAAGGAGAGGTAGAGTAGCAAATTGGAAGGAGCACACTGTCAAAAGGGGGCAGGAGTGTAGGAATATGATCTGCCATTGTCAGATATCCTAATTTGTTTAGAGAAGCCAAAAATCTGGATTTTAACTTTTTATGTGAAATTTTTAATTTTTGATGTTGGGAACTTACTAAAAACACGTTCAAACTCTTGCAGACTAAATAAATCGGTGGCATGGCTAGGGCCCAGTTTTAGACCCCTGGTTTGGCATCTCTAATGATAGTTTGTCTTCAGGAAGTACACCCTCACTTGTGCTAATTCTATGCAGAGTTAGTCCCCAGGCTAAGAGGAAATGCCCTCGGGCAGAAGCTAGGGAAGGGAGCAGGCCTGGCTTGGATAGAGGCTTTCTCTTTCTACCTTCCTTCCCCAGCTGGTTTCATTGGGCCCATCAGTCAACTTTCCATGATGAATGCTTTGTTGTGTCTGTTCCATGGAGTTAAAGGAGCATGGAGTATCTCTCATCACAGCCCCTTTTCTAGGAAAATAAATGGCCAACTCCCTGGAGTTGGGTTTTTTTTTTTTTTATGCAATGACTTTCCTCTACGAGATTTATTGCAGCAGCTTTGTGAGAGATTTGTAGTAAGTAGTGTTCAGGCTGTAGGTCTTAAATCCTCAATGCCACACTCATAACTCTCCAGGAAGGAAATGATAGAAGATCACAGTAGCTAATATTGCATTATGATGATACTGTCTCCCCAGAAATGATTGCAGTCTTGCTGCTGCTGTCTTACTTAGGAAACACCAGCTCTTTAAATGTGCTTGAGATATCTGTCCTGGTGGTGCTTTGTGAGATCCAGGAGAACCTACGGACTGGGGAGAAGACAGCAAACATTTGTTGAGCATCTACCTACCATCCTCTTTTCACATCTGGGGAGACTGAGGCTTGAAGAAATTAAATAATTTCCCCAAGATCTCCAGCTATAAAACCTCTGATTCCAAAGCTGATCTTGTCTACTATGCCACCTGTAACGTATTTCTATTTTAGATATATAAGAGAATATCTAATGAATCAGAGTTGATAGGACAAATGTTGAAATAGTTTTATCATTTTATAAATGAATCTATTTCACTTTTAGACTTAGTCTGCAGTGTACAATAAACAACTTAAACGCCACCATGAGGAAAAATCAAACCCAGGCTGTAAAATAAAGACAATTGTCCTGGTCTCTTCAAAAAGTCAGTGTTGGCCGGGTGCCGTGGCTCACACCTGTAATCCTAGAACTCTGGGAGGCCAAGGCCGGTGGATCGCTCAAGGTCTGGAGTTCAAAACCAGCCTGAGCAAGAATGAGACCCTGTCTCTACTAAAAATAGAAAGAAATTAATTGGCCAGCTAAAAATATATAGAAAAAATTAGCCGGGCATGGTGGTGCACCATGTCTCTGTCTCAAAAAAAAAAAAAAAAGTCAGTGTTTTGGGGAAAAAAATGTCAGGGTAGTATTTTAAATTATAAGATATTGAAAAGACAAATGAATGCATTATTTAAACCTTAATTGGATCCTAGTTCTAAAAGGGCCAACTACATAAAACATTTTGGGAACAACTGAGGAAAGTGAGTATGGACTAGATGTTAGATAGTATTAGGGAATTATTAGCTGTTTTAAGTGTGATAATGGTATTGTGGTTATGCAGGAAAATAGCCTTATTCTTAGGAGATGCATGCTAAAGTATTTAGGAGTGAAAAATCATGATGTCTGCTCTTTAATTTCAAATGTTTGAGAAAAAAAATTATGTATGTATATATATAAAACATGGCAAATTGTTATCCATTGCTAAATCTAGATGCTCATTACCCTATTCTTTCCACTTTTCTGTGTGTTTAAAGGTTTTCACAGTAAAAAGTGAAAATATACAAATAAAAATTTGATTGGATTAAGTTACCTTAGAATGATATGGAGAGGACTGCACTGTATAAAATAAAAGAAGTAAAAGCATTTTGAATTTTTTTTTTTTTTTTGAGACATAGTCTCAGTTTGTTGCCTGGGCTAGAGTGCCATGGCATCAGCCTAGCTCACAGCAACCTCAAACTCCTGGGCTCAAGCAATCCTCCTGCCTCAGCCTCCCAAGTAGCTGGGACTACAGGCATGTCCCACCATGCCTGGCTAATTTTTTTTCTGTATTTTTAGTTGTCTAGCTAATTTCTTTCTATTTTTTAGTAGAGGCTAGTCTCGAACTCCTGAGCTCAAACAATCTGGCTGCCTCAGCTCCCAGAGTGCTAGGATTACAGGTGTGAGCAACTGGGCTTGGCTCATTTTGAAATTCTTGTAGAAGATCAAAATTACCAAATAGCTGAGAATATGTGTTCATTACAGTAAGTACAAAAAATATTTTTAAAGGATAGGTATGTAGTTATAGGATAGAACAGGGGATAGGATTATAGCCATGTAAAGAAACATTTGTAGGTGGATAAGCACTAGAAATATATCTGTTAGTGGAAATAGAGGTGATTTTTTCTCAAAATCACTCTGGCTATATAATCTTTTCTGTTAATATAATTGTTAAAAAGTACATTCATGGATCATGAAAGAAAAAGATCATAGCTCTTTTGCTATGTTGTGGAGTTACAGCTAAACATTTTTCTTTTAAAAGTCATCCTTGAAGCCCATTGTAAAAAAAAAATTCTGTATTTTTATAATCAGCAAATGCACGTAATTTATCGCATTACTAAAAACAAATCAGTGTGGGAACTTCAACTCCATGATTCTAGTATGGTTAACGCTAGATCACGGGAAAATAACAAAAAGTGAGAAATTAAACAATAAAAAATTAAAACTGCCTCCAAAAGTTAGAAGTTCTATTCATTAATGAAAAATGGTTTTACTTAAATTATAAGAACAATTGTCTAAAACAGGTCAGAAAATAAGGCTAGCCACCTGTTTTTGTAAATAAAGTTTTATTGGAACACAGCTGTGCTCATTCATTTACATATTGTTCGTGGCTGCTTTCACCCTACAGTGACAGAGCTGAGCAAGTTTAACAGAGACCGTGTGGCACACAAAGCCTAAAATAGTAGTATCTGGTCTTTTATGAAAAAGTTTGTTGACCCCTGGTCTAAAAGTATATACATCAAACTTTTTAAACACGGGGAAAAAAAATAAAATAAAATAAAATAAAAGTATATACAGATATGTATATGAAAAAGGATCAAATGAGAATATGAAAAAAATAAAGTTGATTTATTATGGTGAAGGAATTGTATATGATTTTTTATTCAAATTTTAAAATGCAAATTGTGTTGCAAATATAGTTTGTTTGTTAAATATTTTTAAGAAAAAATAATTGAATGAGAGTTATGACTGTTTTTACAATGCATGAAATGGTGACAGGGAAACAAATAACAAATATGTGCTATTTAGTTATGAAAGCCTGACCTGGAAATTCTAATTCTCAGAATCGATCCAGGGAAAATAATCAGAAATGCAGGAGGGAAAATTACAAAGGCTATTCTCATGGGACTGTTCAAAAGAAAAAAAGTAGAAATAGCAGGGTAACCATTAAATAAATGATCATGTGTCTCTATATGATGAAACATTATACAACCATAAAATGATACTTTTTTAAAAAGCATTACTATTTTGTAATAAAAAAATAAGATTTTCATCTCTGTTCTCACATACAAGCAATAAAAAAAAGAAAAAAATTAAAAATAAGATTTTTAAAGGATGTGATAGTACTCACTGATGTGGAAAACATTCATGATAGTGATATTGAAGTAAAATAAAGAACATTTTAAAATATCAATTTATAGGCATTATCTACATAAACTTACAAATATTCAGAAAAAAATTATCTAGAAAGATATAAACGATGCCATCAACAGTGGTTTAGGAAGTGATGTTTGAGTGGACTTTTTTTTTCCTTCCTAAATACAATTCTAGAGTATTTAATTTTTTTTTTTACAATGAATAGGTATAGCAGGAGAAGGAAAATTTTTTAAAAATAATTATTAGAAATTTTTAAATGATCCAATAAAATGATTAGGAAAAGCTGAATACAAAATTACAGAAGGAATATGATCTTAACTTTAGGAAGAAAATTAATACAGGAAAATGACCAAGAAAATGCCGAAATATTATGTATTACTTCTGAGTGATGGCATGGTAGATGATTCTTGCCTTCTTTTTTTACACTTTATCTTCCTTTTTTTTTTTTTTTTTTGAGACAGGCCTCACTTTATTGCCTAAGGCTAGAGTGAGTGCCATGGCGTCAGCCTAGCTCACAGCAACCTCAAACTCCTGGGCTCAAGCAATCCTCCTGCCTCAGCCTCTCAAGTAGCTGGGACTACAGGCATGCACCACCATGCCTGGCTAATATTTTCTCTATATACATATTAGTTGGCCAATTAATTTCTTTCTATTTATACTAGAGACGGGGTCTCGCTCTTGCTCATGCTGGTTTCGAACTCCTGACCTTGAGTGATCTGCTCACCTCGGCCTCCCAGAGTGCTAGGATTACAGGCGTGAGCCACCATGCCAGGCCTCACTTTATCTTCCTAAGCTTTCAACGAAAAACATATAAGTGATCATATATTAGTTGGGTAATCAGTAAAATTTAAAGTAAAAATTTGTTAAAAATAGCTTTTTAAAGGAAAAGGATATTGTTACAGCCCCTATCAATCCATATTATCCCTTTGAATCCCTTTATATCTGTCTGTCCCTCTGTCTATATGTCTGTCTGTCTGTCTGTCTCTCTCTCTCTCTCTCTCTAACACACACACACACACAGTAGTTTGTAGCAACTAGTGTCCTCCACTATTAAACTCTACTGGCTCTTCCATTTCTGTTTCACGCTTCCTGGCCACCTTCCCTCACAAATCACTGAATCTTGCATGTCATTTGAATTCCATAGAGAGAAAGGAAGAGAAGGACAACAGTACTGAGGCGTATAGTATATTATGTGCAAGGCTCTGATACCATGGAAGGAATAAAATACCCCAGTCCTTACAATGGCCCACAAGGCAGACTTGGTCTTCATCCTCCCCCACCCCACCTCACCCCCACGCACACCTCTCTGATCTTCTCTCTCCATCCTCTTACATTTCCTTCAGGTCCCTACTCAAATTTCATCTGATCAGGTACACCTAACTTCAGCTTTCACCAACGTCACCAACTTAGTTGTGAAACCAAGTTCGACTATATTTGACCATATTATATTTGACTATACATTGGGGTCTAATCAAAATATGCTTTATTCACAGGCTGAAGACCCTCATGTGAAAATTGCCTTCTCTCTAACCAGAGGAAAGGAACAGGAATCTAAACAGCCTACACAGCCTTGCTCGGTTTCCCCCAGTTTAGCACACGTGGCTCATACTGTTTCTTTATCCCAGCATATTTCTCCATGACTTTCCACTCTTTATCAAGCTTAGCATAAAAAAATCCAGGTTTAACCACTTCTTAGGGTCTTCATTTCCTTATGAAAATGCCTGTGTTACATAAAACTTCCATTAAATACATTTATATGCTTAAAAAATGCTTTATTCAATCTGAAACGAAATCATAAAGGTGAAAACTCATGTGTAGTTGACTCCTAGGATGGCCTCCTGCTATTCACATCCTTACATAGTCCCGTCTTCCACTAACTAGCCCTGACCTGTTAACCAACAAGATATTGCAGAAATGACAGAGTTTGGCTTCCAAGACCAGGTTATAAAGGACAAAAAGGTTTCCACCTTGCTCTCTTAGAGCACTTGTTCTCTAGGGGGAGGCCAGCCACTGTGCCAAGAGAACACTGGAGGAGCCTTACAGAGAGACCCATGTGCTAAGGAACTGAGGCCTCCTGCCAACAGGCAGCATCACCTTGTCAGTCACGTG